TTTTTTTTTTTTTTTTTTTTTTTTTTTTTTTTCTTCTTCCCCAGAGTTCACATCGTAGGAGAAGTGATGGGAATTATTCGAGGATGATTTTATGTTTTTTTTTTGTTTTTTCTTTCTTTTTTAACTGTTTTAATATTTTAGGAAAGAGTACAAGAGAAAATAGTTTATTTATTAAGGAAAGAAATAGAATAAGAGAAAGAAAAAGGGGTGTTGTATAAGTGGTATTTACCATTTACTGCAAATCTATTCTTTTTATTATTATTATTTTCATTTGAAATGATTAAAGGGTATACAAGTATTCGTTTTCTCCGTGTTTTTTTAGTGCTGTGGATTACCTATGCCACGTACACAATGGGCCGTCGACCCTTTAGTGTGGCTCGAGCCGATATTCAGCGTGATACCGGACTCACTGCGGCTCAAACTTCTATTGTAGACACAGTCTTTATGCTTACATACACAGTTGGACAATTAGGGTATGGATACATCAAAAAATATTTGGGAAATAAAGAAATACTTTTGTATGGTATTCTTTTTTCTTCTGTGTCTTCATTATTATTGGCTTTTTCCTCATCATTACTTTTTTTTTCTCTCGCATGGGCATTAAATGGGTTCGCACAAGCAGCTGGATGGGCTACTTGTTTATCAATTTTAAATTATTGGATTTTTCCACAGGAACGTGGAAGAGTAATGGGTTGGTGGTCAACAAACATGGCAGTAGGTGGTGTAGTTGGAAATGTTTTACCAGCATTTCTTATCGGAAAAGGATTTTCATGGCGTTTAGCTGTTAGTATTGAGGCAATAGTATTGATGGGAGTGGCTGTTTTAATATTTTTTTCTCTTATTCAACACCCTAATATGGTTAGATTACCTTCTGTACAGCAAGTTGAAGAAAACAATATAACAGCTGGATATTTACAGGAAATTGGATCCCTTCGTCTAAATAAGGATGGTGAAATATGTTCTCCCATGTGTTCATCTGCTTTAACAGACTCAGAACCTATACAACGTATGTATAATGATAGCCCCTCAAGTAAAGGGATTTCTACTAGTATCAATGATTATGATTCATCTCTTACTTTTTGGCAAATTGTTTTTATTCCTGGGGTTAAGGGTATTTGTATGTCTTATTTCCTACATAAACTTGTACGATATGGCTTTATGTTTTGGCTTCCATATTTTGCAGTAGAAGAGCTAAAATATACTACAGAGTCTGCTGGATATGTGTCATCTTTTTTTGATATTGGTGGAGTTATTGGTACTATAGCGTCTGGATTTTGTTCGGATTGGTTATTTCATGGGAAAGGTCGAACACGAGTTATTTTACTTTTTACTTTGGGTATGATTATTGGTACTTGGTGTTTTGGTGCATTTTCTCATATATTTGTAGAAAGTGTAGCATTATGTGCTGTGGCTGTCTCAGTTGTTGGATTCTTTTCCTTTGCGATTGATGCACTAATGTCAGGTTCCTTCCTCCTTGATTTCCTTGAGCATGCCAAATTAACAGGACAATCAGGAGCTATATCTGGCGTTGTGGGTGGTATGGGATCAGCTGGATCAATCTTTCAAGGTATTTTTACAGTTGTATTAAGCTCAAGCTCTTGGTCTACGTTGTTTTATAGTTTTAGTTTGGCTAGTGCTGTGGCAAGTATTTGTTTGATCCAACCTCTTCGGTATGAAATGCGAGGGCGTCATGGAACCTTTTCAATTGTGTGATAGTTGTAACAGTTTTCCTGTAAAAAAAAAAAAAATAAATAAATAAGTTTCGGGTATTATTAGGAATAATATCAAAATGAAGAATCCCTAAGAAAGAATTGGGGTAGTGGGGGAACAGAAGGGACGTTTTTTTTTTTTCTTGGCATTTGTTTGTTTTATGAAGGATAACCTTTAATTGCTCATTTATTTTTTTTTTTTTTTTTTATTTGCTTGCTCTCTAATTCTCTCGTATATATATGTATATGTTTCCATTATAGTTATTTAGCATCCGTTAGAATAAGGGAAGAGAGACTCTTTTTTTTTTTATATGAGTTTGTCTCAAACAGGAAAGAACGGCACCACCAGTGACAGTCCGGCTCGTGAATTCAACAACGATGAACACGGCGAAGCGCTGAACTGTGGTGGGGGCGCGTGGAGGGGCGGCCGCCGACGGGGTGGACGGGGCCGCAGCCACTACGAGCGGGACGGCGACTGGCGCCGCGACCCCGGCGAGGAGGTGAGCGGCGGGGGGGCTCCGCGGGGCCGCGGCGGGTATCGCCCAGGCGGTCAAGGGCCCAGGCACTACGATAATAACAACAACAACCGCGACAGGCAGTGGTCGAACTGGCGCCGTGGTGGAAATGATGAGGAGGGCGGTTACAGCGGCGGAGGCGGGGGCTCGCGAGGCCGCGGTGGATATGGACCCAGACACTACGATAATAACAATAATAATAATAATAACCGGGACAGGGAGTGGTCCAACTGGCGCCGTGGAGGAGAAGGAGAAGAGGGTGGTGAAGGATACCCCAGGCGTGGACGTGGTGGTCGTGGACGCTTCTATGATGGTGACCGTGAATCCGAAGGAAGGAATCAACAACAACAAGAACATACGGATAATACGGAATCCCAAGCCGCTCAACCTTACTCAGAAGAACAAAAGCCAACACAGCGTGGACGTTTTGACGTGGATTCCTATGACAGACCACGAGGAAGGGGACGTGATCGCCAACCACGTGGTAGGGGAGGTTATACCAGGGAAAGTGATGATATGAGACAAAACGAGCAGCATCAACTACAGCAGCAACAACAAGAACAAGAGCAACAACAACAACAGCAACAGCAACAACAACAACCAGAAGAAGAACAAGAAGAGGCACCAGTGAAGGAAGATCATATTTCTACTAACCCTAATCGCACACAACGTGCACCTCATTTGCGCAAGAACTGTCATGATGAAAAAGAAATTGAACAACTTTTTGAACATCATCATCAGCAGAAGGGTGTTTCCTTGGATAATTATGCGAATATTCCTGTTGATATTGTTCCACGTGATGTAGAACCTGTGGAGAGTTTTGAAGATCTTTACGTTGAACCTGCTTTGGCCTTAAATATTGCAAAATGTGGGTATAAAAAGCCTACCCCAGTGCAACGATATGGCATCCCAGTCTGTCTCAATGGTGATGATCTAATGGCATGTGCTCAGACAGGTTCTGGAAAGACAGCCGCATTCCTCGTCCCTGTTGTTCATTATATCCTTAAACACGGTGTGTCACCCGCGCGTAACCGCGTTAGTTACCCTATTGCTGTTATTATGGCTCCCACACGTGAATTGGCGTTACAAATTTATGATGAAGTTCGTAAGCTAACATACCGTACAGATATCTTCTATGATGTGGTGTATGGTGGAACACCATATCCAACACGATTTGAGAATGACATTCTTGTCGCATGCCCTGGTCGTCTAAAGGATATTTTTGATCGCAGTATTGTTTCCTTCAGTCGTGTAAAATTCCTTGTATTGGATGAGGCCGATCGTATGCTGGAAATGGGTTTTGAAGAGCAAATTGAATACCTTGTTGCATCAAGGTATACAGATATGCCACAAACCAATTCTCGACAAACACTGATGTTCAGCGCTACCTTTCCTCAACGTATTTTGAACCTCGCCAAGCGTTACCTCCGACAGCAATACTATCTTCTTACAGTTGGTCGTGTTGGGTCAACAACGAAGAATATTACTCAAAGGATTGAACGTGTTCAAGAAACAGAAAAGACAGATAAGTTGTTTGAAATCATTTACCAACAAAAACAAACAGATCTTGTCCTTATTTTTGTTGAGACAAAACGTGCTGCTGAAGATTTACATTACGCATTAAAAAGTGAAGGTATTCCAAGTGCTACTATTCATGGTGACCGTAAACAGTTTGACCGTGAACGTGCACTACGTGATTTTAAAGAAGGAATTACACCTATTCTGGTAGCCACAGATGTCGCTTCACGTGGTCTTGATATCCCTAATGTTGCGCATGTTATTCAGTATGATTTACCTAAAGAGATGGATGATTACACCCACCGTATTGGTCGTACTGGTCGTGCAGGTAACAAGGGTGTGGCTACCTCCTTTTACAACAAGAATAACCGCAACCTTGCTCTTGAACTTTTTAACTATTTGAAGGAGCACGAACAGGATATTCCTGTCTGGCTTGAGGAGGAACGAGAAATCGTTGAGGGTGACCGCTTCCTAGGCATGAACCGTACACGCGGCGGCAGGAGAGGAGGTGGTGGTTTTGGAGAAAGCAGCAGCAACACCCGTGCGGCTCCAATTCTGCAGAACTCCACTTGGGGCGAGTCGGTGCCTTCACGTGGCCGTGCACGTGGAACTGGGCGCCAACAGGGATACAGCGGTGTGGATGATGGAGGCTTTTAATGGAATTCATGTGCTCGGTACAGCCATGGAAAGGCAGGGGCTCTGCTGTGCATACTCGATAATTACAGGGGCTAGACGAGATGAGGCTACGTCGCGTGCACAGAACCAGTGTGTATAGAAGATTGTTGGACTGTTTACTAGTTAAAACAAAAGAGTATGTCTTTGCTTTTGGATTTTTTTTTTCTCTTTTTTTTTGTCCTTTACTTCTCTTTTTTTTTTATTTTTGCTTTTTTCAAACAAACAAAAAATAAATAAATAGAAAAAAAAAGGAAACTAAACTGAAAGAATAAGAAGAAAAAAAAAGGCGAAAACAGAGAGGAAGAGGCACAGAATAGACAAGTGAAGTAAAAAAAAAAAAGAAAATGCGGCACGATAAGAAGAAGAAAGAAAAGAAGAGAAAGATGGATTTTTTATTATTATTCTCGTATGTTATGTCATATGTGCTAAATATCTGGTGAAGAGAGACAGAAATGCGAAGAAAAAAGTTACAAAAAGAAACCTTGATGGTTTTTTTTTTTTTTTTCTTTCTTTCTTTTCTTTTGTTCTGGTGTTGTAGTGGGGACGGGAGAGGGGGGGCGATGGGCTCTCATTCCCTTCTTATTTTGGTTATGATTTTCATATATTTCCTAGTAACATTATACGTTGTAATTCTCTTTACAAGTGTACGGATATGGATGGGGGGGGGTATATGTATGAATTCTTGTAACCAGAGTGTGTGTGCTGAAAAAAAAAAAAAAAAACGTGAAGATGAAAAGGTGATAGTAATAATAATAATGATAATAATAATAGTAATAGTACAGGGAATATGACTTAGTGAGTATATATTAGTGGTGTAACGAGAGTATTTTTTATTTTGGTGGGGGAATACAGATGCCTACTCACGTGCACATTCACATACACCATCGTCATAGTCTCTTTTTAACATTTTTTTTATTTTTCTGTTTCTATCTTTTCTTTACAGTGGTAATTTGTCTTGGTATTGTTGTTGTTCTTTTCTTTTCTTTCTTTTTGTTGTTCTTTCTTTCGTTTACAGAATTTCCCTCTTCTTACTGGTTATGATGGAATAAAAGAAAGAAACAAAGAAAGTGAGAGAGAGAGAGAGAGAGAGAGAGTGATTGTTGGCTGTTTCTCCACCCCCCACATTGCCATCAATACCACTACCACCGCCACTATTATTACTATCACCACCACCACTATCACTACCTTCCTTTTCGTTGTCTTGGTGTTTATTATTATTACTATTATTATTATTATTATTATTATTATTATTATTATTATTATTGTTATTATTATTATTATTATTTACTCCATCTTCTTACATTACTGTCGCTGTCACTGTGGCCGAACTCGTTAAAGAAGTCAAAGAAAAAGAACCAAGTAATGAAGAGTAAAATAAGAAACAAACAAACAAAAAAAAGAAAAAGTGATGAAAAAAAAAAAGAAGAAAGAAATTAAACAAAAAAAAAGGGCAAGTTTGTGTGTCCTGTTTTTCTCATTTGGCGTCGATGGGTGCACTCACGTGCCTGAATGTGGGCTCCAGTTGTCACCAGGATCTGTTTTCTTTTTTTTTTTTGATATACAACTTCCAAGAGATTGATTCTTTGATTCTCTGTTAAATGAAATCAAGGGGGAGAACCAATAAAGAGAAAAAAAAAGATAACAAGAGTAAAGGAGGGAGCGAAAAAAAAAAAGAAAGAAAGTGAGGCGGAAAGGATGCAGCCGAAGCGATGGAAATGATGAAATGCAATAGAAAAAAAAAAAGAAAAGAAAAAAAAAAAAGATCGACGAAAACTAAACTCATAATGAAAACAAAAAAAAAAATGAGTGAGAGCCCTCACAAGTGTAATGCTCTTATCAGTTCCGCTGCAGCACTGGGGGGCAAAGGAAAAAAAAAAAGAAATACCATTTGATAAGAGTTTTTTTTTATTATTTGTTTTGTTTTTAGTATATTCTTGCCTCCTTTTGATTCTTACCTCTGTGTTTAGTTTTTTTCCCCCTTTTTTGTTTGCTTTGCTCTTTCTTTTTTGATACAGCACTACAAGGAAGAAAGGAAAGGAAAGGAGTTAAGGTATTACAAGAATAAAGTCTTGGTACGTATCTCTCTTCCTTAATAGTGGGTGGCTAGGTGTTATATATATATATTTCTTTTTCCTTTGGTTTTTTGCTGTTTGTTATCGTATACTCTGCTGTTATTCTTTTCCCCACTCTCGGCATCGAATCAGCAGAAGTATAGTCTCTCTCTCTTTCTTTCTTTCTTTCTACATTTCTGTAATCATACGAAATGTTCTACCGTCGTATTACCATTCTACGCGTTATGGCGTCCTCCTCTTCGTCTTTTTCGTCTTCCTCCTCTTCATCGTCCTCTTCTTCATCTTCATCTTCATCGTCTGCCTACACCAAACAAACTCATATACATCCTGCTTCACCCTATGATGTGTTGGGGGTGACGCCGAATACACCATTCAAAGAAGTGAAGGCGCGATTTCATGAACTTACTCGTCATTATCACCCAGACATGCCGCAAGGGGATCCAGGGAAGTTTAGAGAAATAAATGCCGCCTACCGACAAATCCGCGCCGCACAACGTGAGCGGAAGTCGGAGAGTTTTAATACAGAGAATTTTAACAGCAGTGAAAATAATAATTTTTGGTCAAATCGTAACTACAAAAACGTGAATGATCGGGAGTATGATTACACCTATGCACGTGAACGGGAGCGTAGAGATCGATATACCAATCCAAAACGATATCAGAATGCATATATACGTGATATTATGTGGTTTTATGAAGGATATGAAATGGCTTTTATACTTGGTGCTGCTGTGGCAGTTCTTATCATTGCAGTGGATCGATATTTATTGGTCCAACGCATGTCTCGTGAAAAGCGGGCGCGACTACGAGCCATGGATGAGGGTTTACCTCCCACTATGCCAATGGTTGTCGATGATGAGATGCTTCAAAAATACAGTGAACGTGTCCCAAAGGAGGCTATTGATATAGATAACGCTATGGTGAAGGAAGATGCATACTACAGACGAGCCACTCAACGACGTTTTGAAGATTTTCGAGAATTTCTTTTCATTTATGATCCTGATGGTGTAGCATCACGTAAGGTTACAACCTCACGTTTCAGTATTCAGTATATGGATGAAAACCTTATCCCAAAACGTTGTACTCATGTCCGTGAGTTTAACTCTGAAGAAAAGAATAAACAATATGTGGATATTGCTAAAGATGTATCTGAGACACTCAGTACAACCCCATGGGTTACCCCAGACGCACAGTTCATCTCACCACTTATTGCTAAAGGACTTGCAACGATTCCAATGAATTCTCCAGACACTGCCAAGTGGACCTTTATTGAGTATAAAGACAACGACACTGGAGCTGACCCTGTGTGTTTAATGGCACTGAAGAACAATCGTTTTGCCAATCTTGGAATGTGCCAGCGAGTGACGGTGACGGGTAGTAGTAAACTAAGTCCACGACTTGTGGAGAGACGGGAAGCAGATCTGCAGGCGGGTACACTAACGAAAAGAAAACTTCAGCAGGGAGGAAAGTTACCCGTAAAGGATCTCTCTGTTCCTCTTGAAAAGATGAAGCTCTAGAAGTTATTTTACAGAAATATGGAGGAAAGAAAGAAAGAAACAGACAGAAAGCTGCAGAGCATTGTTATCTTATCCATTTATTTTTCCAATTCTCACACATTGTGACGAGTAATAGTACTGTTACTGTTACAGAGTGTTATATTTCTATTTATATTGCTATCAGTGTTCCTTCTCACCAATTTACTTTTTTGTTCCTTTTGGAAATCATAGCGTAAAAGAGATAAGTAGCACTTATATGAACTGTTTTTTGACGGGCTAATAACGAGAGCAAAAAAAGAAAAAAGGAGAACTACCCTCTTATTTTTTATTCGTTACACGTGTATTCCAGCAGGATTTGTCTTCTTTTTTTTCTACGATATCCTTGTGTTGTACTATGAAAATTCAGAGAATAAAAAGAGTGATTAACTGGAGCATATCCTTTGCTTAGTATAACTATTATGTGAGTAAATGAGAAAGTGTTTTCTTTTTCTGGGATTAGCAGTTTTATTTTTGTTTTTATTTTTCTTCCGCGTTAAACTCTCTCTTCGTCAGTACATCAGGTAGGAAACATCTCAGAGAGAAAGACTCACAAATTGCTCCAATATCATTCTCAGGCACCATATAGTTTATTATCGGATTAAAAAAAGAAGAAGAAAGGAAAAAAATTGAAAGCAAAAAATGAATCTCAACAATATACATAAAATACACATATGATGACACTGACCCTGCTCCGCTACTGACAAGATAATAGTGATACGATACTCTTCAGGGCTTCTGACGTGACACCATGCACGTTGTAAACTGTGCGTTTTGTATATGTTTAATACGTACTAAGCATTATTCGCTTCCTGCTATGGCGTTTTTTTGTCGCGTTGCAGGTTAGTATAATAATGCGAGATTTGGTTTTTTTTTTTTTGACTTAATTTTATTTTGTGTTTTTTTTTTCTATTCTCTGATTTCAATGTTTATTTGTGTTTTTTTGGGGGGGGTTGTGGAGTTTCTTTTTTTTTTTTTCTTTTTTTTTTGTGTCAATAGGGATTGCTTTGTTGCCATAATGAAGTACATTGGTGCACTTGATCAAGGTACAACAAGTACTCGTTTTATTATATTTGATGAGAGACAACGTCTTGTTGCACGTTATCAAGTGCCTATTACGCAGTATACACCTCAACCTGGATGGTTAGAACATGATCCTATGGAGATTTTTAAGGTTAGTTGTAAATGTATTGTTGCTGCTGTGGCTGAGTTACGGTCTAAAGATCCAAGTTTTGATAAACTGGAGGCTATTGGTATTGCAAATCAACGTGAAACAACTGTGGCGTGGGATCGAGAAACAAAGAAACCGCTTTATAATGCTATTGTCTGGAATGATTTGCGTACTTATGGTGTTACTAAAGAGATTGCAGAAAAACTTGGCGGTGGTGATATTCGTTTTGCCATTCAAAAGAATGGACTTTTGGCAAGTACTTATTTCTCTGCATTTAAAATGCGTTGGATGTTGGATAATGTTCCAGATGTAGCAGAAGCAAACAAACGTGGGAGTTTATGTTTTGGTACTGTTGATTCCTGGTTAATGTGGATGTTGAGTGGTGGTAGTTGTTTTCTCACGGATGTTACGAATGCGTCACGAACCTTTTTGATGGATATCCGTACAAGAAGTTGGTCTTCTGAACTGTGTGAGAAACTTGGAATACCGATGAAATCTCTTCCAGAGATTCGAAGTAATAGTGAGTTTTTTACGCATATTCTTTCTGATGAGGCTGGACTTGCCTCGGCACTACGACACAAAACACCTATTATGGGATGTATTGGAGATCAGCAAGGGGCGTTGTTTGGTAATATGTGTTTTAATCAAGGAGAGGCGAAAAACACTTATGGTACTGGATGTTTTCTTTTAATGGTTGTTGGGGAAGAGGTACGTTTCTCACAACATGGTCTTCTTTCTACAGTTGCTTTTCAACTCGGTAAGGAGGGATCGTGTACGTATGCACTTGAGGGTTCTATTGCGGGTGCAGGTGCTGCTATTGAATGGATGAAAGATAATTTGAAGTTATTTAAAAATATTACAGATTGTGAGAAAATAGCCCGAAGTATTCCTGATACACAAGGGGTTGTATTTGTACCGGCCTTTTCTGGTTTACTCGCTCCTTATTGGGATCCCACCGCACGTGGAACGATTCTTGGAATGACACTAAAAACGACAAACGCCCATATTGTTCGCGCAGCTCTGAAAGCTATCGCCTTACAAGTTGTGGATGTTGTAGAGGCAATGAAACAGGATGCCGAGTTAAATGTGGAGATGCTGCGCGTGGATGGAGGACTTTCGGGTAATCGTTTGTTAATGGAAATGCAGGCGGGTTTGTTGGGAGTGGATTTACGTCTTCCTGCGATGGCAGAGACGACAGCACTTGGCGCAGCGTTGTGTGCTGGACTTGCCGCTGGTGTGTGGAAATCACTGGATGAGGTTAAAGCCGTGGCGGCGGAGGAACATAAATGGGAAGTCATCAAACCGAAAGTTTCCTCTGAGTTTCGTCGAGAAATTAAGGAACAATGGAAACGAGCATTACAGAAAGCGAAATGGGCCAAACTTTAGGTGGGGGATGTGTTTTTTTTTTTTTTTTTTGCTTTTCTTTCATTCTTGTTATTAATTTATTTGACTTGGTTTTTTTTTTTTTTTGTTGTTGTTGTTGGAGCTTTTCTCCTTCTAGATTCCACTGTGTGTATGTGTTGTATGTTTGACCTTGAAAACGATTGGTTTTTTTTTTTTTTTTTTTTTATTATTGGGTAGACTATATTTAAATGGAGCAAAATTTGTTGAGTTTATTTTCGAAATTCTATTTATATTTATATTTGTCGATAAATATATTTTTGTTTTGTTATTTCTGGCCTCTTTCAGGAGAGGGGAAAAAAAAAAACGACTATATGTGATTTTTTTTTTTTTGATTTATATTTTCACCCTTCACTTCTTATATATGATCAAAATATTGTATAAATATATACATATATAAATGTATATGTATATATATTTATATTATCGATGAGAGAGAAAGTACTGAGTAATACATGTGAAATTATTCATGTTCTTTTTTATCTTTACTACATTAATTTGTAGGAACTCATTCTATGTAGTTCATTTTCTCTCTTCGTATGTTAATGGTATCTTAAATGATACCCAAATCATGCATTCATTGTTTCTCGTCCTTAATGTTATCTCTAATGTGATGTATGATAAACTTCTCTTTCTTTGTTGTTGTTTTGTTCGTTTTGGTTACTGTTGAGTGGAAAAGATGATGAATCTCGTGCTCTCCCTTTTTCTTTATTTTATTATTATTATTCTCACTCTCTTATTTATTTCATTTCTTTTTCTTTTGAAGAAAGTATTAAACAGAAGAAAAAAAAGTAACAAAAAAAAAAGAAAATAATAAAACCAAATCAATATGTCTGATGAGCCAGTTGCAAAGAAAACAAAATCAGAGCATGAAGAAGGAGAGACCGCACCTCTTCGTGAGCGGATGCGATCCTCATGGCCAAAAGATCCACTCTCTAATGATATCGATATGGGTGAAAGTCCCTTTGGACTCTGTGTGGAACACGATGCCCCGCATGAGAACTGTGCGTTGGAGTGGTGGCGGGTTCACGGCAGAGTTGGCGAAGAAGATCGCTTTGGTGTTTGCGTGACGTTTCTTCGCTTTGCCGTCACTGAAGGCGATGAGTTGCCGCCGGTGTGTGAGAAGGTGAAATACGCCGTGGCCGTCGCCTGGGTGATTATTGATCATAAGAAGAAAAAATATTATCGGTTTGTGGAATCCGATCGGAATGCCCCACTTATCGCTACATTTCTTGCGGCGAATATGAGTTCGACTGGGAATGGTCACTTTCTTCAGGCATTGGCAGAACAATTTAAACAAGATCGACTGCCATTGCCAGAGAGAGTAATGACAGAACCAGCATCTGTTCATTTGGGGAAACTGAACTTGAGTTATGATGTTAATCAAATATCAGTTCTTCTTTCTCAAATAAGAGGAGGCGGTAGATCATCTCATCCCAGTTATAAACTTTCTTTTTCAGGGATTACCTTTGAAAGTGGAGATGCACGAATGCGGGAAGAAGTAAAGGCAACGGTAGAACTTACATTTCAACCCACTCAACGTCCAGTTTTACATGGAAACGCTGGTGTAGTAGAACTTGGAGAAGATTGGAGACATGATGTATTTCAATACTTTCTCCCTCATTGTAAAGTGGTGGAAGGTGTTATTCATCTCACACGTGCCTCTGATGATTTGGAAATTGCGAGAAGTTCTGATTTGGAAGATGGAAGACTTTGGATGGAGCATGGCTTTGGTTGTGCGATACCTCAAATAGTAGAAGAGTCTATTTTCTTGGAAAAGAAATTACCCAAACAACAACAACAACAAAAACAAAATAATAGTGAAGCCTTATTATGTAAGTGGAATCGTTGTTCCATACAATTAAATAATGAGACAAGGGATATTGTAAGTCTTATCTACGCTGCAAATCCTATGGATTGGAAATTATTAAAGGCTTATGCAGTCTATCAGTGCGGTAAAACTGGAAAAAGTGAAGCATATCATAAAGGTATTGAAGTAACTATAGATAGTGCTTCCCAATACCGTAGTGATATGACTGGTGTGCTCTTTCCCACACGATGGACAATTCATACACCTTTTCCTGAAGATTCCAAATTAGAAGTAACAGTAGAGGCAACATTTCCAGATCAAGAATTTATTACACTTACAGCTCAACCAAGTATTTGGTTAGGAACCGTACAAGTAAAAGGAAAAATTATCGCTTCAGATGGAACTATAAAGGATATTACTGGTGATGGTTTTATGGAAAGTCGTGGAAAAGGGAATTTACATGATATTCCACGATTGTTTGAACTCTTACGTGAAGTCACCACTACTTTAATGGAGAAACCAGAAGTAAAATCTTTAGCATCTTTAGAAGAAATTGTAAGTGGACCAGTAGCATCTGCTATGGGAACTGTAAAGACATTAATGAGTATTCATAATCAAACTTTTTCAGATGCTCATTGGGTTGTGTTTACATCTTTTCTTGCTTCATATGGATATATATTTCACCATGGAAAAGAAAAAGAAAAAGTTTTAAATGCTCTTCAATGGATTCATGGTAAATGGTTAAGTTATTTTGGAAGTACATCCATTGATATTAAAACGTTGACATTACGAGCTTTTATGTTTTGTGAACTTACTCGTGTACTTGAGAGACGATGTTCATCATGGATTCCACCTTATGTACAACCTGTAGATCTTGTGATGTCCCCACCTAGTAGTATGGAAGCTCTAATGACTGCATATAAACTTGAAATCTCTTTCACTACGCCACCTCATATGGATTTTAAAAGTGAAGTGAGTAGATTAGATATTTCAAAATTGAAAGCTATATCAGATGGTACTTGGATATTAGATGAATCCAGAGGAACAGGAAATACAGCTGATTTTCTAGCCGCACAAGGTGTAAATGTGATGTGGCGTACTTTTATTGGGAATGTCATGTCTACACTTGTAATGAATGTAGATGAAGAGAAACGAACATGTTGTATTTTTTTGGAAACACCTGTTTATAATAAGAAATATTTAATACGACTGGATGGTGTACTTTGGGAATGGCGAAGTATTGGTCCTGGTAAAGTATATTCTAGGGCATCTGTTTTACCAAGTGGTACAGGTATTTATATGGAAACCACACTTCCAAATAAAATGATGGAATGTAAATGGTTTACATATGAAGATGGTGGAAGAACTATGGTGGAAAGTATGAAATTGTATAAGAATCATGTTCTTGAAAGGCATGGTGTGTCTGTAGAGCCTATATCTGTCTGTGTTAAGTACTTTACTTTACGTATGAATGATAATGTGAATTGAATATGTCTCATTTTCAGAAGTGGTTGACTGTATTATTGTTATTATTATAAGGAGTTTGTGAAAAGAATATGCATCAGTAAATGGATCTGGTGTAATTAAGGTTGTGGAGGATTTTTTTTTTTTTTTAGTTTTTAATACTTTCCTTTATTTTTTTAGTGCGTTGTTAATTTTTGGGGAATATATATATATATATATAATGTATGAACAAATTAGAAAGTATGTAAGATTTTTTTTTTTTTTCTTTTGTTCTTCTTTACACTCTTATTTACTACGTGGTGGAAGGGGAGTTGAAAAGAAGGGACCTTTAGAATCTGCCACGTTTTAACTTCTTACCGGGTGATCTATTCGGTAAAAAGAGAAAGAAAGAGAGTTTTATGGTTTATTTTATTTTTCTTGTTTATTTTCATTCTATTTCATTGTGATAGGGATTAAACGAATATAGGAAGTATATTCAGGGGGTTTATGAGAGCGGGGGTGTGGGNGGGGGGGGGAAGAGGGGTTTTGGTTTGTATTCTCTTTCTCTCTGTGTATCTTACTAGTAAGAGGAAAAAAAAAAAGAAAGGAAAAATCACCTCTTCTTAATGGTTATTATTGGTTTTTTTTTTCTCGTAAAATGTATTTTTTTTTTTTTTTTCCTTTTTGTATATATGTGTAGAAATACCACTATACTCATTCCTCAACGCTCCCTTATGAGGTATGAGGTTATGTTAAAAGATATATCCATCATTACCTCTTCTTTCTCAGTGATTGGGGGGTGTTGGTTTGATTTAAAATGCCATGTTTATATGTATCTATGTCTGTATGTGTACTGGGGAGCTATCAAAGAAAGGAGAAGACAGTTGAAGCAAAAAGAAAAAGTGTTTTACTACACTTCTCTCATCTTTTTTTTTTGTGTGTGTGCGTATTTTATGAAGGGAAAGTATAGCATAAACTACTTTCATGCAATTGGAGATGATGATGATGATGATGTGTGTTACCTGTCGTTCCTCTATATCTTTAGTAATATATTTATTTATTTATTTTTATTATTAATATTATTATTATTATTATTATTATTCTTTGTTTTCCCCTTCCTTTTTTTTGCCGATCTACGTATACATACATATATCAATATATATATATATATATATATATATATATACATCATTATTTATATATATATTTGTTTTTCTTTTTTTTTTTAATGCGCCCCATCTATTGATCACAGATTTCACATGCGAAAACATACTCGGGATTCCCATTCTAATTGTTCTGCGCTTTGTTCACATAATAACAACACTAGTAATAGTAATCATAAGTTTTACAGATCAGAATCTGCCTCACATCATCCGCCAACCACTGTTGAAGGAACACAAAGTGAAAAGAGAGCTGACGATATGTCTACCACTGTTAAAAAGCCTGGCTCTCCAGATGCCGCTATTGACTCTAAATTCCTCGATAAACAGAGTCGCACAATTGGGACATATGGTCTAGAGACGATGACAAAACTCATCTCCTTTAAGGTACTCATTGTTGGCTGCAGTGGTGTGGGAATTGAGGCCGCAAAGAATCTCTCTATGGCGGGTGTTCACTCCATTGTTCTCTGCGATCCAAAACGGGTGGAGCCAAAAGATATGGGTGTTAACTTCGCCATCACAGAGGCAGCCATAAAGGCATCCCTCACACGTGCAGAGGCTTCACAGCGTTTGGTGGCGGAATTAAATCCAAACGTTCGGGTTCGTGTGGTGGAGACTCTCACGGAGGAAATTGTGTCGAATATGAATGCGGTGGTCTACACATCTGCTGCCCCTGATTGCAGTATGAAAACCCTCACACGATGGAATGACTTTTGTCGTTCCCGTAAACCGGCCATTTCTTTTATTTTTGCCTTCCAGGGCGGTGTGCTTGGCTCTGTTTTTGTGGATCATGGGAATCACTTCACCGTGAAGGACCCGGATGGTCGTCCAATGATCCAGAAATCTATTTTGGAAGTTGTGAATAAGAAAGATAAGACTGGGGCCTCCTACACACGTATTCGATTTGAAACGCCAGAGGGACAAACACCTGGTGCCCTTAGAGACTATACAAAAATAAGGTTTTCAGAAGTCAAAGGATTGTGTAAAAAGAATGGTGAAAGTGTGAATGGACATGTATTTGATGGAGTGGTGTGTACAGGTGATCCTCGTGATACTGTACGTATTTATCCTTCTTTTGAAAGTCAAGGATATTCCGCATATGAAACGGCTGGTTTTCTTCATGAATTGAAAGAAGTCACTGAATTACAATTTCGTCCACTAAAGGAAGCACTGACATTACCAGGAAGTTTTGTTCCTGTCAGTCCCATGATGGATGGATCAGAGGAATCACAATCGCATCTTTGCTTAATGGCATTACTGCATTTTGTGGAAAAACATAAACGTTTACCCCTATTACATAATGAGAAGGAGGCAAGTGAAGTACTTTCCATTGCAAAGACACTTAACGCTGAAAATGCAAAAGAAAAAATGAAATATAATGAAGAAGATTTTAACGTACTTTTGCCACCAGAAAAGGAAGAATTTCCACATCGTCTTGCACCTCCACCAAAACCTTTTCATTTTACAGTGGATTCAATAGATGAAACTTTTATTCATACGCAATCACTTATTTCTCAAGCAGAATTACAACCTCTTTCTGCTGTATTCGGTGCTGTTGTGGCTCAAGAAATTGTAAAAATAACAGGTAGATATACACCTATATATCAATGGTTTCATTTCAATTGTGCGACTATGCTTCCAAACAGTACAAACTATGGTAATTCTAACGATTATACTCCCAAAAATTCTCGTTATGATCATCTTATTGCCATGCTTGGGAAAAAATTTCAGGAAAAATTAGGTAATCTTCATATTTTTATGGTGGGATGTGGTGCATTGGGATGTGAAAATATTAAAAACTTTGCTCTTTGTGGTTTGGCATGTGGAGAGAAAGGTTCTCTTGTAGTTACCGATAATGATCGTATTGAAGTTTCAAACCTCAGTCGACAGTTTCTTTTTCGTGAAGAAAATGTTGGACAATCAAAATCTGTTGCTGCAGCCGGTCGTATGCGTATGATGAATAAAGATGCTAAAATTGATCCTCGTCAAGATTATGTAGGTCCTTCTATGGAACATATCTATCATGATAAGTTTTGGAATAGTTTGGATGTGGTGGTAAATGCTCTTGATAATATGGAAACCCGTCTCTATGTGGATGATCAATGTGTAAAGTTTAAAAAGATTCTAGTGGAAGCTGGAACTATGGGAACAGGAGGAAATGTAGATATCATTGTTCCTGGAAAAACAACATCTTACTCAGATGGTGGAGCGGCAGATGCCTCTGGTGGTATTCCTATGTGTACATTACGGAATTTTCCTTATATATTTGATCATTGTATTGAATGGGCTCGTGCACAATTTGATGATTTCTTTGTTTCTCCTATGCAAACAGTGGAACAATTACTGGAAGACCCTAATGCTTTCACAGAACGTATTAAAAAAGAAATTTCTGCAGCACAAAGTGCAGGTGAAAGAAGAAGTTTGGTAGAAAAGAATCTTGGATCTTTACATACCATACAAAAAGTTCTTTCTGTTCTTTCTGGAGGTGTAGATATGAATAAATGTGTTCAATGTGCTTGGGAAATGATGTTTCTTCTCTTCCGTGATCGTATTAAAGATCTTCAACGATCATTTCCAAAGAATGCAAAGAAAAAGAATGGAGAAGATTTTTGGTCTGGTCATCGTAAATACCCAACAGCATTGGAAATAGATCCCAAAAAAGTTACATCTGATCCAGATATTGCGGAATTCCTTATTGCTACTTCTAATCTTTTCGCCAGTATGTATGGTTTACACCCTATCAAACATGAACCTCGATTTAATGATCCAAATAATCGTTGGATGAAACAATACCGATCATTAGATTGGTTAAACAGTGTAATCAGCAAATGTACAGTACCTGTTTATCATCCCGGAACTGTGGAAAACCTTGATGATGATCTTCTAGATACTGTTGAGAAAACTAAAGCGGGTCAAACAGAGGAATCTAAAGAGGAACAATTATTAAATATACTTACCAGTGTAACCAAAACAGCTGAAAAGTGTCGAGATAGAAAAATGATGGCATTGGATTTTGAAAAGGATGATGATGATAACTTTCATATTGATTTTGTAACTGCCGCCAGTAATCTTCGGGCAAAGAATTATGATATTCCTACACAAGATCGAATGAAAGTAAAACTCGTTGCTGGAAAGATTATCCCAGCTATTTCCACTACCACATCTGCTGTTACTGGTCTTGCCCTTATTGAATACTTTAAAACACTTCAAGAAAAAGATATTTCATGTCTTCGTAATGGAATGATTGATGTGGGAACTAATAATTATGTTCTCTTTGAACGTGATGCCCCTATTAAAAATCGAACCAAGATTGCAATCAGTTATCTTCCTGAACAGGATTACACCTATAAGAAAAAGATTATACGTGTGCCGGATGGATTTACAAAGTATGATGCTATTGAAATTCCCATCAATAAAAAAACTACTGTGTTAGAATTCGCCACAAGTTTGGAAAAGAAACTCAACACCCTTTTACCTCCGAACTCTTCATCATGTGAAGTGATTAGTATAGGTGTGGGTAAAGGAATGTTGTGGAATGGATCGCGTAAACACGCCAACACCAATCGTTCATTAATGGAAGTTATTGAGCAACAAAAGACGGCAGAAGCGGGTGGAAAACTTCCGTGTCCATTTTGGCAGAATCGTGTGCAGTTCTGTGATCTTTCCGTTACCGTCTCGCTGGATGAAGAGAACATGGAAGTTGATGAGATTGATGTGGAGACGGCTATGATACGATTGCGTATCACACAATGATGATGATAATGATAATAATAACGTGGAAAGGGGGAAAAGACAAAAAGAAGAGAAGAAAAGAAAAGAAAAAGAGAAAAGAAAAGGAAGGAAAGAAAGAAAGTGTTAAGAAAAACAGAAGAGAAGAAGAAAAAAACAAATATTGGGAAGGGGTGTGAGAATAGTTGGGAGTGGTAGTGATGGGGAACACCTGTGAGAGAAAAGAGAAAAGAAAAGAGAAGAAAAAGAAGGGGAAAATATATATATATATATATATATATATATATTTATTTATTTATTTATTTACAAGCTTCACAATGTAAACAGCAACAATGAAGAGAAAAGAAAAGAAAAACAAAGAACGAAACTATGAACTACTAGTAATTGGGTAGACAAATTGCTATGTCGGATGCAGTTTGAGTTTTTTTTTTTTTTTCGTCTTTTTCTTTTTTCTTTTCTTTTTTATTTTTTCTTTAACCACTCCGAAATTTTTAGTAATTATTATTATTATTTTTATTATTGTTATTATTATTTTGATCATTATGATCATTACGTTTTTCAAAGACTTTTCTTTTTTTCTTTCTTTTACTTCTTATAATCTAATTTCTTTTGGACCTATAATTCTTTTTCTTCTTTTAATGTGCATTTCTCTATCACTTTCTCTCTCCTAATCTTCTTATATTTTTTTTCTTGTTTTCTTTATTAATCTCCTATATATATATATATATATATATATATATATATGTTTTAGTTATCTATTCCTTATTCTTTCCTCTCCCATTCCTCTCAGGGTTGGATCAGGTATGGAATCACAATCACAACAAGAAAAACAACAACGTGGAGTCTCTCCTCTCATTCGGTGGTCAGCAGTCGCAAACGATAGACAATACACGAGTCCACATAAGCATTCCATCTCTTCACAGAAAAATAACACATCGTCTCTATTGTCGGGATACCCACCGGCAGACACAGATGGAAAGGTAGTAGAATCATGCGCAGCGACTCTCTCTGCATCTCAAATACAAGAAGTAATGTGGTGTAATCTATGGAGTGCACATCATCCTCATTATCATCATCAAGATCAACAACCAACATTATTATTATCATCATCACCAACAAAAATAAAACCAACTACTACTACTACCCCATCTAATAAAATAATATGGGAGATTTGTAAATCTCCTAATGCTGAAACTATACTAGTACACGAACAAGTGGAAAGTGCGGCGGCATCTGTACCTTCCATTGAGTGTAGTAATAATAATAGTAGTAATAATAATAATAATAATAATAAACAACAAAGGCCGGGTGTTCATGCCAAGATACCTTTATTGAATTTTGTTACAAAGTACCGTCGTAGAGTTGAAGGGTACGCCGCACAAAATACACGAGATTTGGGTTTCCTCTCATCATCCACTCAATCATGTGAGAGAATAGGGGAATCTCATAGTGAACATTATCAACATCCTCATCATTATAGTAGTTCTTCTTTTAGTCGATCTCTGGCGGAGTCCATGCCACTTCACGTAAAGTGTGAACCTCAATGTGAAGAAGAATCTATGATGGGTCGAAAATATTCTCAAAGTGCAGGCGGGTCGTTAGATACCACTCAACACATTCAACATCCAACTTCTAGAAGACCTTTATCGGCTGTGGATCCACCTATTTCTATTAGAAGGGGAATCCAAACTACTCCGGCACAGTGTGAGTTGCGTTCCAAGTTTTCTTCCATTTCACCTGAACAAATATTAGACGTTTCTGGTTTGTGTGATCAATCCATAAAACGTCCAGTTTCCCTTAGACGCATTTGTTTTGAGAGTAGTAGTGATTCTGCTGAATCTTCAATAGATTCAGAATAAAAGTGATACGCAATGTGTATCTAAAAGGTATTTCTCTTCTATTTATTTGTTTTCTTTTTTATTTCTTTTACTGTCATCATTACTTATAATTCCTCCCTTTTTTTTTTTAATTTTGTGCCTTTTCCTGAACTATTGTTCATGTATCGTGTCGTTTTTTTTTTTTTTGTTTTTTTACGGAGAGAGAAGGAATAGAAATATGTATAATGGCAGTGTCATTGAATACTCTTCTCTTCTTCAACCTTTGGAGTTTGGGATATGAATGAACGCTTTCTCTTTTTCTTTTAAATTGATGTATTTTTCTATGTCTCTATGTTTATTTGTTTGTTTTTAACTTTTCTTCTTATTGTTCCTATTCTTATTTTTCTTTTTCTCCTCTCTGGGGTGAAGTTATACCTTGTAGTTGGTTATCTATAGAAGAAGTTTTCTATAAGATAGTACCAGTGCGCTACTCCCATCACTCTTACGAGATTCGGGGAATATCAACAGGAATAGGATAGGCTCACATAAGTTTCTCTTTTTTAAACAAATAAACCAAATAAGAAAAAATAAACAAAAAAAAAAAGAAACTCGGTGTTATTTCTATTTTTATTCTTCTCATCTATACTGTAATGGTGGCGACCATTACGTTTAAACTACGATCCAGTAATCATGTTGGAATTATAGATGTTCCCCAGCGAGTGATATCGTGCCGGGAAATCAAAGAGGCGATTGCAGAGAAGTTGAGTGGATCGCCGGAGGAAATTGACATTTTTGTATCGGGGAGTTCAGACTATCTCCATCCAGAGGAGGAACTTCCCGCTTACACCGTTGTCGAAGTCGTGCGGCACATCGCCTCTGGTAGACCACCACCCAAACGTGAACGAGAAACAACAACAACAACTACTACTACTACTACAGGAACTACAGGAGGAACAACAACAAGTGCTAGTAGTAGTAATGCCGCAGGGCGTATATTGTCTAGACGAGGAAAGAAAGAGGAAGAAGAAGCCGCGCCGTTAACAGAGGAGGAACGTTTGGCCCAACTCAGTGAAGCCGTTGCGGTGGAAACAGGAATTGATGAGGTTGGTAGTTGGCGGATGCGGCAAATGCGTAATCGCCCAATGGGAGGACCGGGAGGAAATCGTGAGGATTCCTTTCGTCCCCCACCGCCTGGGTATATTTGCCACAACTGTGGAAAGAAGGGACATCTTATTCAACACTGTCCAGGGGCAAAAGGCCCAAGAGGATTGAAGTTGTTATCTCTCCCAACAGGGATTCCAGAAACTATGTTGGTGGAGTGTACAATGGATGATCCAGCCGCAAAGTTTGTCACTCGTGATGGTCGTTTAGTGAAGAGACGATTGGATAATGCGAGTTTCACTGGTGTGGTGACCACAGTAACAGATGTAGTGGATGTGGTGAAGGAAAATAATGGGGAGGATGAGAGAAATGAAAAAAAAGAAGGAGAGGAAGAAACGGCGAATACTACAACTAATAATAATACTACCGCAACACAGACAAAGTTATTATGTGGTTGGGATAAAGTATTGGCAAAAAATGCGATGAAAACCCCTTGTTGTGGTACTCTCTTGTGTGGAAGTTGTTTTACTGAGAAAGTAGAAGAAATGATTAGTTGTGATGATCCGGATGTAGACCCGTTACTGTGTCCTGGCTGCAGTAAACCACTAAGTGTACCAGATGTTACAGAGGCAGTGGAGGAACGAAAACTTATTGAAGCCCTTCTTGCAGGAAAGTAAAGGGAAACGATTAAATATGTGTTTTTTATTTTGTTATTTTGTTGTTGTTTTTCTTATTCTTCTTCTTCTTCATACGAAACAATGAGTGAGATAGATGTTTGTGACTCTGATCGTCCGATTAAATTAAGAAGAAGAAAAGATGAGTTTTCCTCTCACGAATTGAACTTTTCACAGACGAGTCGTTTTTTTTTTTTTTTTTTTGGTTTGACACCTTACTCTTTCTCTCTCTATCACTATTGAGTAACAGTAGGTGTAATATAGGAATTATTTATTTACTTTCTCTGTATTTTTTTTACTCTTATGGTTCTAAATATTCTTTTCTTTTTCTTCATCTTTTTCTTTTTTTGCATATTTCTTCTGTAATATAAACCACTAAAGAGACTGGATTTTCTTTTTTGTATTTTGTAATCATCGTAGTTATTCAACAAGGTGAGTGCAAATAGGAAAGTGAGTTAAATCTATTTGTTCTTATTTTTATTATTCTTCTCTAGGGTAATATCAACCACCACAACAACAACAAGTAGGCTGGAAAGAGGGCTCGAGAAGAGATAATAATATAAAAAAAAAAAAAGAAATACCCATTAAGTATATATATATATATATATAGATAGAGAGAGAGAGTGTGTGTGTGTGTGTAGTATATTTCTCTGTATATAAGAAAATGACCAGCATCTTCACATATGGTGCTGTTGGAAATAACCCAATGGCGCAGAAGTATGCCCAAATGGCCTCCCGTGCCTCACTGTGTGGATCAAAGAATTTTGTCTACACGAAATGCCACGACGACGCCCATCCATTTCCCCGTCATCATCATCGTCAGAGTGATATACCGTGGAAAGACTCCTTCACGTGGAATAGACTTCGATGGATTATTCACGATTTTCGTATGTTTGGTCTATGGGGATCAATAAAACGACATTATTATATTGGTGAACCATGGCGACGAAAGGATGAAAAGATATTTGTGGGTAAAGATGAGAATGGAAATAAATATTGGTTAGCCCGTCGCTCACAAGCAAGTTTCCATGTGCGTATGGTGGAACCCAAAGATCCTCACTGGTTTCGTGGACAAGCCCCACACACCGCTTCACCAATGTGGATGAAGTGGATGCAGGGTAATGCCGCACACACACCTGCACAAGTAAAGGCACGAGGAGAATGGGGACACAACTCACGTCTTGGTATGCCATTGCCATTTAATATTAAGTATGATGAGTTCTCACCTATTAACGCGGGTGAAATATTCTCACGGGATCCCATGTGGGTATCTGCACCTGGTCTCTTGGTGAATCCTGAGCGTCGGGCATTAGAGGAAGCTGGTTATTCACGTTGGGTAATTAATAAAGGTATGCCTATTTATATGCCCTTCTGTGGGGTTCACGATTATCCGGATGAACTTGTAGAAGAATACTATAGAGGACAATGGGCTTTTGGTCGCACTAGTAAAGGAAATGATCATGACGAATGGAGAAACTAAGTAAATAATAATAATAATAATAATAATAATAATAATAATAATAATAATAAAGGAATGGAAACAGGAAAAAGAAGTTTTTATTTTTTTTTCTGGTCTTCCTTTTCCTTTTTATTTTATTTTTTTTCTCTTTGCAGTGTTGTTAGTGTAGTGGAAAAAAAAAAAGTATTACGTTTATTATGAGGGTGAACAGGGAATGTCAGAGGGGTGTTGGGTAGGGTAGGGTAACGCGGGTATGATTATTACTGTAATTATTATTAGTATGATTATATGTATATATATATTTTTTTTTTCTTGTGGTGCTCTCCCTTTTTCATTACAACTATATTTCTCCCCATACCTGGAAAATATTAGTTTTAGTTAATGATGGTGGGTCGCATCTTTAGTACTAGTACTAGTGCTCAGACACATTTTGTGTCTTTTTGCCTGTCTTTGTGTATGTGTGTATGTACGTTGATTGCCGTGTCTACCTTCTCTTTCTCTTTCTATATATATATATATATATAATTTCAATCTTTCTTTAATGTAGAATAGATAACTGGTGTTCTTTTTTTTTTTCTCCTTCTATAATGTTACCCCTTATTTTTCCTTGTAAAATATTTTTTCTTTTCTTTTCTTTTTTTTTTTCCTTTGGTTCCACTATTACATTTGTAATAAGTTTAAAGAATATTTTGCGTATTGGAGCGGTTTGAGGTGTTTAGGAGTTCCTTTGATTGCGTATATATGCGTGTAGGTGGAAATGAATCTTGACCGACAATTGAAGCGCAATCTCGTTCGAGAAATTGCTCTTATTGCATTTTTCCTTGGTGCAACCTTTATGTTTGGTGTAACTCTAATTCTTCATAGTTTATTTTACACCAAAAGTGTAGGAGAATATGCGGCTGGTGTTTACATTATATCCACCATGGTACTCTTTCACATGTGTGAGTTCCTCGTAGCGGCCTCACTGCGTCGACACGATACGCATCCCGATACTTTTATGCTTTATCACTCAAAGGAATATATATTAGCCACAACTGCGGCGTGGGTGGAGTTTCTGGTGGAGTGGCTCTTCATCCCGGAGAGTTGGAAGATATCACTGGACTCACCATGGTCGTGGTTACTGCGACTCAACTACACTACTGTTACGATCGCAGCGGTGTTGACAGTAGTCTTTTATTTTGTGCGGGTTGGTGGGATGTTGCATTGTGGATCAAACTTTTCACTTATCATTGAACATGAGCGGCGATCGAATCATGTGTTGGTAGAGGATGGTATTTACGCTGTATTAAGACATCCTGCATACTTTGGTTTCTTTTGGAGGACCGTATGTTCGCAATTGTTATTGGCAAATCCTATCTGTTTGGTTCTTCACACAGTAGTGACATGGGTTTTCTTTGCGAAACGTATTCCTTATGAAGAGGAGTTACTATCGAGTGAAGAGTTCTTTGGTGATCGATATAAAGCGTATAAGGTACGAACGTGGGTTGGTATCCCTTTTATTCATTAAATTATATATATATATATATATATATATACTTGTTGTTTTTGCACCTTTGCTGAATCTAAGGAGAGAGAGAGTCATGAATTGAGGTATATGTTCTCTTCTACAATACTTTTATTTATTTATTTATTATTATTATTATTATTATTATTATTATTATTATTATTCTCTTTTCTCTTACATTTTATCTTCTTTTTGCTTTTTAGTGCAGTGAAGGGAAGATCTTCTTTTCTTGTGTTGACAAAAAAAAAAAAAAAAGGCCTCCCCCAAAAAAGAGAAAAAAAAAATACAAAGAAAAAAAAAAACTAGTTTGCTACCTTCCATGAAGTATCTATCTAGGGATTGGTTACTCTCTCTGCATCTCCTTCCGCTTGAGAGTTGCATACTACTCAGTGCTCTTGTAATGTTTCTTTCACCAAACTCCGCCGTCTGGGCGTTATTGTTTTTTACAGTCGGTTCTCTCAGTACATTGGCACTCTTTATTATTCTCCCCGTTTCTCCATTAAAGTCAGGTGGAGCTCATCATGTAGGTATTCGTCATTTATCCCGTAATCTTGCTGTATACTATCCTACCTTTATTAAACCCATTGAAGGAGAACCTTGGCTTCCTGGTAATGATACACGTTTTATTTATACGATGGCGAAACAAGCTGGTGTACGATCTCTCTGGTTAAAACATTTAAAACTTGTTCGCATTCCATGTACTCGAAATGCAAGTGTTGTTTCCTTAATGACCCACAAGGGAGAACCACGACAAGTATTTATTATTAGTCACGCCGTTGGGACACATCATTTATCTTATTCTGATCTCGCCTTATCATTAGCTTCATGTGGGGCATTAGTCTATACTGTTCTTCATTCGGACAATACAGATATGAGTGGTAGGAAAAGCAGAAGTGGTTCTCTCGTAACGAATGGGGAAGATTGTTTACAAGATCGAAATTTAATTCATGAACGATGGATGACACAGTTAAACAAACGTGTAGAGGATGTTATTCATGCTATTGAAGGATTTTCAAAAGGAGAAATGCTACAACAATTGCAAGTAAGACCATCCGAATGGCAAACATTCCTCTCTTCAGGAGCTAAAGTGAATCTTATTGGACATGGACTTGGGGCTTTAACCATGTTAGCAGTGGCTTTCAAAGCTCCTCTCTCTATTACACAGATGATTGGATCTATTACAGCAATGGATGTTTGGCCGCTAAGTCTTGTGGATGATTTAACTCGTGGACAACAATCTATTCCAACACATATTCGTATACAACTAATGGATTCTGAAGAGTGGAGTAAACGCCGGGAACATAGTATGCAGGAAGAAGAACTAAAGGAATTTCTCACCTCTTCTGGAGTTTGCTGTATCCGCACAACACATATTGGGACAGATCATACAAGTGTAACGGATATGGGTTTATTAATTCCAGTCACGAAAAGAAAACGATTTGCTTCGAAAAAATCCTCAACTTTTATACCGTTAGTGGCGAAAGAAATCATGCGTTTCGCTCAGGGATGTGATAATGAAACCACTACAAGTCTGGTGTAGCCTTGTTTTTTTTTTTTTTTTTGATTAGGAAATGAGGGTGTACACAGAAATCAAAAAAAAAAGAAAAAAGAAATGGGACACCCTTCGCTTGTTCTTTTTTTTTATTATTATTATTTTTGATGAATGGATTAGATTGTAATATTTTTTTTTCTTAAATTCTATTGTGTATCAAGTGAAGTTTTTTTTTTCTTTTTTTTTTGGTCTATACTTGTGTACGAAAGATCATCTCTATTCAGCCCTCATACAATCCAACCGAAATAATGAAATCATTCCTAGGAGCATATGATGGGTTTTTTTCTGGTCCACCAAATTCTTTTTTAGACTATTTGGTGTCATTCCATAGTATCCCTATTACCGCATCTTTAATTCTAGCCTTACTACTATGCATTCGTGGAGGTTTACTATTTTGGTCTATTTTAATGATCATTCTTGGAATTCTTGTAACGGCTGTCTTCTTTACAATATTGCCTCTTCCTATTATTGGACCTATTGGCGGTCATTATCATGTTGGTTTGGTCCACTTGGATGGTAATCGCTCTCAGTCTCTTCCACCATTAGCCATTTTTTATCCCACTAATACTCCTCCGCAGAAGAGGGGTGCACCATATGTTCCTTTTAATGATCCTATCTATTTAAGTGGAATGGCCTCATATGGAAAAGTACCACTTTACGTAATGAAAGATTTGTTATTTGTACGACTGAAAGTTTCACCAGATGCTCCACCTATTCCACTGAATGATTTAAAAACACCACCACCCATTATTGTTTTTAGTCATGGTCTCAGTGGGCATTATCAATTCTATGGTTGTTTATGTGCGGATCTTGCCGCTCGAGGGGCTATTGTGATAAGTATTGGGCACTGTGATGGTAGTGCCTCCTTTACACGAATTGTTCAAGGTGATAAGAGTGAAGGAAATGATGTTCCTTTTAAACATCTTGGATGGGAAGTACCTGTGCGAGAAGCTCAACTCACTCAACGTGTACGCGAATTACGACATACATTAAATCGAATAAAAGAGATGGACTTTTGGAAAGAAATTGGATATGAGGAGTTAGATATACAAAAGTATCTGAAGGAACCATTACAACTTCATCTCTCTGGACATTCCTTTGGTGGAGCCACCGCACTTGCAGCGGCTTTACAAGAAGAACAAGTACCGGGTAAGAAATCAGTGAAAAGTGTTATTGTATTTGACCCATGGCACCTGCCTTTACAGAATGAACACTTCTTTCAACCAATAGCAGAAGGTAAAATGCGATATACAACACCAACTTATATGGTATTCTCAGAGAATTGGTCAAAGGATAAGGAAATTTGGGATTTTTTTCAACGAGTTACATCTGCTGTACTGGGTCAAACTTTTTTTGCTTCTTTTACGGAAGAATTAAAACATTCTTTCTTTTTTACGGAAAAAACACCTGATACAAATCATTACTTTGTATCTGATCTTTGTGTGTTAAGTCCTGTTATGCACGGTAAATTGAATGCAGTTGTTCCTTCAAGAGCACGTATTGTGGAATGTTCTAACACTCTTATACGTGTTGCTAAACAATACATGGATCAAACGAATTCATAACATTTAAGAGTGAAAATTATCCGAATTAATATCTATATATATATATTGTTCATACAAGTACACATAATGCATATTATATGTGTACATTTTGTGTGTATAATTATAAAAAGAAATTTCCTCCGTATAAAATGGTTTTGTTGTTATTGTTCTTCTTTTTTTTTCTTTGCAATATTCATGCATGGGCGCGTTTAATAATCTTAGCAATTCGATAGGAATTTTTATGATATTTACTTATCTATTAATCTTCTTATTCCTTTTAAATTGACGCTTTGGTTCTTGTTTTTTTTTTCTTGTTCTTACTCCTCATCCTTTTATTCTTCTTGTACCTTCCCTGTTAACCTTTCCTACTAAAATTAAAGCTTTACCAGCAAAGAAGTAAGTATATACTATTATTATTACTATTATTTTTTTTTCTTGAGGTATTTTCACCTTTAAAAAAAAGAAAATAAAAAATAAAAAGAAACACCATCATGCCAACACGACGCCTTTTGCACACAATGATTCGTGTGGGAGATCTCGAGCGCAGTATTAAATTCTATACAGAGGCTCTTGGGATGCGCCTTCTTCGTAAGTGGGATTGCCCAGAGGATAAATTTACTCTGGTTTTCCTTGGCTACGGTACCGAGAGCGAAACTGCAGTGCTAGAGCTTACCTATAACTATGGACAAAGTGAGTACAAGCATGGTGATGCCTACGGACACATTGCAATTGGTGTGGAGGATGTAAATGAGGAAGTTTCGCGTTTAAAGAAGATGAATGTGACTATTGACTACGAGAGTGGTGATGGATTTATGGCATTTATCGTGGATCCTGATGGGTACTATATTGAGTTATTGAATACCAAACAAATGATGGATAAGGCTAAGAAACATATGGAGGAGCAGGGAACTGCTTAAAGGGGTAGAAAAAAGAAAAAAAAACTTATTTATTAATCCTTATTTTAGACTTAGCCTTAAAATTAAAGGACGTGAAGACTGTTTTATTATTATTATTATTATTATTATTATTATTATTATTTGTGGGATTTGAGGTATAAAGAAAAAACCACTTTTCTCTTTATTGTTCCGAAATGTCTCTCTGAGTACGGATGTGAGTGTTTTTTTTTTTTTTTTTTGCATATGTATTATGTTTTCACAACTTCATCCTTGATCTCCCATCTCTCTTTTCTAACTTTTTTCCTATTCTCTTTCTTCTTCTTGATGTTGTTAAAGGTGTGATCATGCTTGGGGCTGGCTCCTGGTTTGTTGGGCTTGCCATTCCCACTGTATTCGTTGGTGGCTTTATTGCCTCACGTAAACGTCTAGCGTATCAATGGCGAGAGGAACTCATGGATCCCGATAACACAGTCTATCCACCCATCACAATGAATGATATGGACTTTTTCCGCGGAGTTTCCCCATCGTATCAGAAAGAAGGAAGTGGTGTGACATTAGCGGTAAATGAAAATATTGGATTGTATGTAAATCGTGATGTACTTTCAGTTGAAGAGAGAAATGTGTTGATGGATGAGGTTGTACGTTGGGTCTCACTCTTTGGACAGAAAATAGATCCCAGGAAATTTGATTTTTATGAGAATAAGAATAATAAGAATAAGGAAAATTCTAATGATGTGGATTTGAAATGTTATAAAGAGACTTCTATTATTTCCGATCATGCAGAAGATATTCAATTAATGAAAGCTCCATGGGGAACAGGTGATCGTATTCGATATGAAGCCATGCCAGCAACACTGCGTTTCTTAGTAGATAAAGTCCAACGAACATTTGAGGGTGTTGGACGTCTTCGTCATGTTTACGTGGAATACTCCCCAAGTGGTAAATTTTATCATGAGCCACGGGCAACGAAAGGGTTTGATGGACACGATTATGTTATTATTCCTTTAAGAAGTGATACAAATCCCACTGTAGTAACCTTTTCACCACTTTTACGATCTAAAGTATCCATATTGCAGGAAGTGCAGGAAAACTCATGGACTTCACGAGATATAGATGCTATTATTCCATCTAATGCCGCTCTTCGTGTATATGGAACTGCACGTTATGAATGGGGTTGGGGAATTCGACCATGTGAAGTTTGGTTTGGACATCGACAGAATACACTTAAACACTTGTTAAACACCACATTTGTTCATAGAGGTATGATGGAACGTGTAAAGAGACGTTTACTGTATATGAAACCAAAGCATACAGTTCAACAAGATGCGGCACTTGTAGTACTTCACTTTGAAGGACCACGTGATAATAATAAACAACGTTCATTATTACTGCAACCAGAAATACTTATTTTTGGGCGACCACCTGCTCCTGAAATGTATGAGCAATGGGTGGAGGACCGTCCCACACAAGAGGTAGTTCGTAAAGAAGGTGTTTTTTTATTTATGATTAAGAACTACTTGGAAATGTTACAAGTGAGCTGAATGAAAGTAATGGGTTTTTTTTTCTTATTGTATTTTTTTTTTAATTAATTCATTTTATTTTGTTCTTGTTTTTTTTTTTTTTTTTGGTTGTTATTTCTTTTTTTTTTCAGTAGTACATACTATATGTATACTTTTCACCCTATTTGCTTTTTTCTTGATTTGGCTTTGCTTGCGACAGTGTGTCTGTATCTGTCTATTTCTGTGTGAATTGGATGATGATCTTATTGTTGTTATTATTGTTATTATTTGCTTTTTTCTTTTTTTTTTCTTCGCTCTTGGAACAATGATCACAGTAGTGGATATATCTTGTTGTTATCATTCCACTGTTTTTACAATTTTTTCTTCCTTTTTCCTCTTATGTTTTCTCCTATTTTTATTTTTTTATTTTATTTAAATTAGAGAAGGAAGTTAAGGTATGCTGCGTTGTGTAGGGATTTCGCGATTATGGAGACCATCGCGAATACTCACAAGTGTCACGGCGAAATCGTCTCCAAATGAAAGTTCCTCTACATCCACATTAGCACAGTCAACAGTAACAACAAATGTATCTTCTTCAGTATCATCATCACCATCATTAACATCAACATCCTCATCCGATATCTTAAAGTATCCTTATGAGGTGGTAGATACACCAGAGAAACTTGATAAGGCGGTGGATTCACTATTAAAAGCCTCTACTATTGCACTTGACATTGAGGCTTTCTGTACAACAGAGCAAGCCAAACAACTTGGGCGTATTTCACTTGTTCAGGCATGTTCAGATGCTAAACCGGTGGTATTTCTCTTTGACGTACTCACTTTAACAGCCCCAGCCTTTGTTAAGAGTGTAAAACCATTATTGGATGACAAGAAAATACGAAAATTACTTTTTGATTGTAGACGTGATGTAGAAGCTCTTAGTTGTCAATTAGGATTAAAACCAGAAGGTTTATTGGATCTACAACTTTTTTTTACTGCTATGCAATGGAAACTTCGTAGTGTCAATCGTCGTTCTGGAATGACTTATGTTCTTAAGAATGTTGCCGGACTTACACGGCAGGAAGGCGATTCCGCCGTTCAGGCCGCAATGACATTAGGAAATCGTCCTGTTTGGGATGTTCGTCCTTTACCAGATCACTTTCTAGAGTACGCAGCGGATGATGTACGGCATATTTTACTTCTTTCTAATTATCTGGTGGGAAATCATAATAATAAAGTTCCTATTGATGCCGTATCTGTAGAAAGACTCACAGCGCAGTATGTGCAGCATTACGCTATTGGTAAACCCGTTACAGAAGAGGCAGATGCCACTCCAGCGGAAGTTAATATTACTTGGTTAGAACGGTATATTGGACCAGGTGGGGTTTGTCATTTCTGTGGGGCTAAAGGCCATACAGAGGCGGAATGCTTTAAGAAACAAAATGGAAAAATGAAGTGTAGTTTCTGTGGAGAGAATGGACATACCGCACGAAATTGTTTTAAGAAACATCCGCAGCTTCTTAAGTGTGAAAAGTGTGGACAACTTGGACACACCGGTGCAAGTTGTTTTCGAACAAATCCTTGTAAACATTGTGGGGGTGCACATAGTAGTGCAAATTGTCACAAGGCACTTCGTCAGCAAAAGTTTTTCGGTGATCCTCCGCCCTCATAACGATGGGTCTATTATGATTACATGATTGTTCTTTCTTTTATTATTGTTGTTGTTGTTGAAAAGAGAACCAAAAAAAAAAAAACTCGAAGCGAAATTTGAATGAAATTGTATTCTCTCTTTTTTTTTCTTTTGGAAATTTCTTTTATTCTTTAATCCCAGACGATTTGATTTAATTTGTGTCACTTGTTTCTCTTTAAATCTCTTCTTTTATTTCTTTTCTTTTCTTTTCTTTTTCTTTTTTTTTTTATTCTCTTCTCCCAATTTAATATATTTATATATATTATATAGACGAAGGAAGAGGAAAAAAGTATTTTAAGAGTTTTTTTTTTTCGTTTCTTCGTACTATTATTGTTGCCAGCATTCTGTTAATTTTATTAATTTTCTCCATTTGGGGGTAATTTCTCTGTAACCACTTGTTCCAATCGCCTTGGGAGTCATGTTTCGTTCAACTCCTCTATCTGCGCTTTGGCGACGGTGGGCCGCTGGTGCTACGACAACGACAACCTCAACCGCCTACCCATCCGTTTTCTCACTACGGCTGTCGAGCAGTGGGGGAAAGGACTATTACAAGATTCTTGGTGTAAGTCGCACGGCAACCCCGGCGGAGATCAAGAAGGCATACCGCAAGCGAGCACTCGAGACCCACCCCGATCAAGGTGGTAAGAAGGAAGACTTTGCGGAGGTTGCAGAGGCGTATGAATGCCTTAGTAGTGAAGATAAACGCCGGGTGTATGATCAGTACGGATCAGAGGCCGCTTCTAATATGGACGCCGCGGGTGGAATGGGCGGCGGCTTCGGTGGTCGCTCCGCGGAGGACATCTTCGCTGAGTTCTTTAAAGGCGGAATGGGGGGATTTGGTGGGGATGTACGCCGTGGACCACAGCAGGTCTCACCCATTGAGGTAAAGATACGCATGACGCTGGAGGAAGTGTATAAAGGCGTGAGTAAAACACTACGAGTTAATCGACCCGTTATTTGTGCAGATTGTCGTGGATTTGGTACAAAGAGTCAAACCAAAAAACCCAAATGTACACATTGTGATGGTAGTGGACATGTTGTGCATCAACATCGTATGGGACCTGGCATGGTTCAACAAACCGTCTCCCAGTGTAGTAGATGTTCAGGCTCCGGCACGATGGCGAAGGCGGAAGATAATTGTCCAAAGTGTCACGGTTTGGGCTATCGGCACATCGCGCAGGATGTGAATATTGATATTCCCGCTGGTGTGCCGGCAAATGTGACGTTGGTGGTGCGGGGTGAGGGTGGGACTATGCCGGATGCTGAACCAGGGGATCTGCATGTACATGTGGAAGTGACTCCACATAAGAAATTTACACGTCGTGGGGATGATTTATTAATTACGAAGGAAGTTTCACTTTCTGAGGCTCTTTTACGTGTACAAATGTCATTAAAAATGTTGGATGGTCGTGTTATTTCTGTTCACGTTCCAAATGATACTGTTCTTAAACCAAACAGTGTTCTTAAGGTACCGGGAGAAGGAATGCCTAGTTCTAATGGTGGACGTGGTGACCTTTATGTGATGACACATATGAAAATGCCACAGAAATTAACAAAACAACAACGTGAAGCTATTATAAGTGCCTTTGGAGCTCCAAATGAATCTTCTGATGCCTCTGCTAACTCAGTTGTTACTGCACGTGTAATGCGAGAAAACACTCATGAGTTTGAGGACTCCATGCGTGAAAACTGGGATGCGCAGGAAAGCGGCGGAATGGGTCGTCGCGGTGGTGGTAGTAATGGCCGTGGTGGTCGCAGATCACAGCAAGCGGAATGTGTGCATCAGTAGATACTGAGAAACTCCTTACAGTTTACCACTGTAGCACACAAAATTTCTTGATTTACCTTGTTTCTAATATATACATATATATATATATATATATATATA